CCGGATTCGGCGGAGGCGTCGGCGGCCTAGTGGAGGCACCCTCCCGTCCACCCAATCCAGCAGGAGGGTAGGAGGCGGCAGTGGTCTGGCTGTGGCGCCCACCCATCGCCAGATCTAGAGGGAGGGTTGGCGGCAGGAGGGCACGTGGTGGCAGCCTGGCAGCTTGGCAGCGACGGATCCTCGGGTGGTGGCTGCAACAGTGGCGGATCTACGGGTGATGGTGGCAGCAGCGGATCCTCGGGCAATGACGGGAGCGTAGGAGACGGCGACGCCCTCCCTCCGCCACATCTGGAGGGATGCGGCGGGAGGGGAGACTTCCGCGCGTGGATCCGGCGGTGGCAGCGGCGTTGGCTTCTCCCGTAGCTTATATGACAGACAACGACGGTGAGCAGCGTTGGAGTCGGCCATCTCTCTTTCCGCATCGGTTATGTTTTTCAATGTTTGTTGATCTGTGATGTTTGTGATTATTGTTCGTTGATTCGGGATTGTGATTGATTCAGGAGTTCATTGTCTGTGATAGATTTGGGAGTTCTAGTTCGTGAAAAGAAATTTTTTTAGGTGTCACATCGGACGTTTGACTGGATATCGGAAGGAGTTTTCGGACACGAATAAAAAAACTAATTTCATAACTCGCCTGTAAATCGCAAGACGAATTTATTAACTCTAACTAATCCGTCATTAGCACATGTGAGTTACTGTAGCATTTATGGCTAATCATGGACTAATAGGTATAAAAGATTCGTCTCTGATTTTCATACAAACTGTGTAATTAGTTTTTTATATATATTTAATTCTCTATGCATGTGTTAAAGATTCGATGCGATGTTTTTCGGCAAGTTTTTTTTGAAACTAAACAAGGCCATATTTTGGATCGAGATGCCGGGGCAGCACAAGGTGGATGCGCTCGATTCGAGCTAGTGCATCGAGCCTTTTTTTTTTTTGCTCGCGTACGTCTCAAAGGTACCGGTTTTCAAACCGGTACCAATCACTCGAGTCATCAGTGCCGCCTCCGTGGTGCCAGTTGGGAAATCCAGCACCTAAACGAGGTTTCCCAACTGGCACCTATCAGGTGTTCTGTGTTAGTGTAACCGTGCGGATGTGGTTGTCGCTCATGCCTGCCACCTCCTCCCCCACTCTCCCCAGCAAATCACGTGACATGGAGCTACGTCTCATCCCACGTCGCCGTCCACACCTCCCTCCAAATCCACCTCTCTTCGGCCTCCTCACCGCCTCCCAGGCCTATAAAGCTCCTCCCGGACCCCTCTCGCCATTTTCCCCCCTTTTTTTCTCCAGCTCCCCATGCCCAGAACCACCTTCCCACCGCTCCACTCGTGCCACCACCGTCGTAGCGCTCAACCACCACCCTTAGCTTCACTGCTCCGCATAGCACCCTGGTCACCACTCCATTTCCCTCTATCATCTTTGGAAAGCCCTTCTCCCCGGCAACCTGAACCACCGCCGCCTTCGCTCTTTCCTTAACCGAATCCACTAAAAAATCTTACCATATTTTGGCATTAACACAATTATAGCAAGGCATGAATCCCGATTGCAACAAATGGATATGAAGAATTCTTGATATAGAATAATGCTTCTGATTTTTGCAATTTTTTCTTGGACAACATATAAAACACTTAGGTTTGTGGGCATCGGTCACACTCAAAAAATAATGTGCTCCATCAATAAACTCCTTCGACCGTCGGTCCACGGTGTATATCCATTGCCAGTTCATCTACATCAAATAAAGAAATTTAAAGGAAATCCGCGGAAGTGAAAATAATTAAATAAGCATTTAATAATTTGAAACATCATAATTAAACTCAAAAGTTGAGTGGATGAAGAGTATTGCTAATCACAGTTAGATTTCATTTATGTTTTACTATTCCACACTTATTTTTCCATTTTCTATTATCTATCTTTTCCTTCATCTTTTCATTCTTTTCTCTAATTTTCTATTCTTTTTTTCCTTTCATTTTCTATAATTTTCCTTTTTCGCCTTTTTTTTCTTTACATTTTAATCCTATGTCTCTAAAAATTATGAAGTGCTCTTATATCGTCTAAAATTTTATCCTCTCTCATCTTTTTTTCATATATTTTTGAGAGAGAATGGCACATAGAAACATAGCTACAAATATAATATGTTAACCATAAAACCATTGAGAATGAAGTTGCTAACCTTTTAGACCCCTTAGATTTATGTAGAATCACCAAAATACTTTCATAAAAAAATTTGGCAGCACCTCCCTTTGTTTTCCCCTCTTTGGCAGTAATAGCTTGGGCTGGAGGACGGAAAAAGAAAGACTAAAAAAGCATGTACTATCTTCAGTAACGGTTGGAGTCACCAATCGGTACTAAAGATTAACACAGGTACCGGTTGGTGGCTCCAGCCGATACTAAGGTGTTCATCATCTTTAGTACTGATTAGTGATACGAACCGGTACTAAAGTATTGATCTTACCGGTAACTGGTACTAAAGATCTCTTGTACCGTCAGAGGGGGCCTGACAAGTTCTGACAAAGAATAATCAGTACTAAAAATTAATTTAGTTTTGATTGGTGTTACTAACCGGAAGTAAAGATTCTAGGCGGAATATTTATGGTTCTTATTACTGCCGAGATAACTCGAGGTTGAGGAGGAACTATGTCGTGCGGATGGGAACCGGCCGGACAACGACGGACGAAAGTTTGGGCAGAAAGCCAATTATGGAATGTAATAATAGTGTAGCATATTACTCGAATTTCCCTTGGCACATTACTTTCCAAATATTAAGTCGAAGGAAGGAATATATACGACTGGGTATATATTAGGTACGTGGACGTACGTACGTTTTTATACGGGGAAAATATCGATCATACTAGCTACGCTAGCTGCAGCATCAATCGATCTATCCATGGCTACGGCGGAGTCGCCGACGCTCGGGGAGTCGCTGGCACACGTACCCCGTGGTGAACGGTGGGCAATGGCTGTCCTGCTCCAGCTTATGTTGCCCATAGGCACCACCTCGCTCGTCGCTGGCGTACGGCTACCACTTGGGATTCCCTTCCTTCTTCAGCAGCGTCCCGTGGCGGCTGCCGTTGCTGCTCTCCATGGGCGCCTACTTCTCCGTGCTCTACGCGACCACGTCCTACGCGCAGCTGTTCCTGCCGCGGACGCCGGTGCGCGTCTACGACAATATCTTCGACGCCGGGACGTGGGGCGGCTTCTTCATCATCTGCATCATGGTCTGCGTCGTCCTGGGCCTCAGGGTGGACGACGCGCGCGTCTTGGTGGCATGCACCTGCGTCGTCGCTGCCTTCGTCGTTGGGGTCGTCGTGGTCTGGGTGTGGCTTGCTCGCACGTACGGCGGCGACGAAGACGAAGACGAGGCGTCGTCGGAGTCTACCTCTGCACGCTTGACTGTCTAATTAAGTCGATCATACGCAATATTTTTTTTTCCTTTTCATTATGCCACGTAGGACCACTCCGCGTTGAGTGGTGGGCGGAGTGGGGTTTATTTGTGTGGTTTCAATAGTGACGTGCAAATTGTATGGTTTTTGAGTTTATGGGCTACACTGGTGGACAAAAGTTTATAGTTCCGGTTGGCAACCCCTATGTAGTCCCGGTTTTTCAATCGGGACTACGAATCCGGGACTAAAGATGAAAATCTTTACTCCCGGTTGAAATAACCGGGACTAAAAATACATCTTTAGTCCCGGTTCGTAACACCAACTGGGACTAAAGACTTAGTCCCGGTTGATGTAACCAACCGGGACTAAAGGTTTTTTTTCTTTTTTTTTTCTTTTCTCATGTTCAATATCTCCAAATCATTATAAAAATAACAGATAACAAATCACAATCACACCACAAAACACAAATAACAGATAGCATGAATCACAGATAGTCCACATATCACATATCTTCCAATATCATTCACAAATCACAGATCGCATCACAAATCACAGATCGAACAAATCATAGATCGCACAAATCACAGTCATTCACATCACATTAAGAAGGAAAAAAAGAAAAAAAAAGGTAAAATTTCCCATGCCGGCCACCGCTGGGGCAGCCCTCCACGCCTCCACCGCCTGCCTTCCGCGCGGGCAGCCGCCGCCGCTGGGCCCTCCGCGCGGGGCAGCTGCTGCCGGCGGCCCTCCGCGCCTCCGCCACCTGCCGCCACCGGGGCGGCCCTCCGCGCCTCCGCCGCCGGCCCTCCACGCTGGCCACCGCCTGTCGCCACCAGGAAGACAGGGGAGAGGGGAAGAGGAGGAGTGAGGAGGAGAACTAGTGGAGGGGAAGAAAAGCTATGGATTAGACTGAGGAGGGACAGACAGATCGACGCACCAAGAGATAAACATCGTGCCGGCTTGGGGTGATTTTTAGCCAACCGGGACTAAAAATAATTGGGGCCTGACACGACCTGACAACTTCTTCAACCATGACTAAAACTAAAGATCAAAAAATACCCCTCAGCTTTTAAACCGAGACTAAAGATGTTTTTTAGTCCCGGTTTTTATTGGAACAGGGACTATTGTGGAATTTAGCCGACCGATCAAAGATGGTTTCTCCACCTGTGGTAATTCAGCCAACCACGATAGTTCATCGAGGTAACTTGGACTTTTTTCTAATTATTATTCGGTTCATATACTCGCATGCTTCAGCCAAACTAGGTTATCGCGAGGGACGAGTAGATCTTCTTCTCTCTCGCCCTCTCCCTCTCTTCAGCCCCTCTACATGAGCATAACCAAAAACTCGTTAGCGATCTTCCAAGCGAAGTCGGTGTGTGGGGGGCGTTTGTGACCCCTCTTGTACGCCTAGCAGTGTCCGGCCACGCATAGCGGCAGTCGGTTCGGCACTAGCGGTCGGTGTTTTGTCTTTTGTTTTTCCTGGTTTTGATCTCTAAGGGTTGTAATCTTGTTTTTTTTTTTCCTACTATATCAATACAAAACTTCACGCTGTCTTGTGCGGGTCATTTTTAAAAAAAACATGCTGACTAGTCTAGGCTCACAGCCTGATCGTAAGGATGAAGTACAAGGGCCACATATAGGTGCTGATGCCGTATTAAGTTGTATACAACCATGCGTTCACCCCCAATGAATAAGCTATTACAGGAAAAAACTTTACTTTAAACAAATTCACCATGCAAACTGCAAAGGGTGCATCAACATAAAGCACAGCAAAAGGGTGTTGCACCTATACACTGCTTCTTTTGTCTTCTATTAAAATTTGATAGGGTCCATGGAATCCTCTTTTTATTTAGCATTTTTGTTTTTCTTTCCTTTTTTTGGGTTATATAAGCTGCAGGTGAACTAGTTCTTTTTTACTAAAGATTCTACCGGGAGTGAACACACCTAAAGAAGTACTCCAAACTGAGGGCGGTAACATCCAAACTTCATATGATATCAGGTTCCTCCTGAAGCACCTATTTCTCAGCCAGTAAGCTTCCTCTATCTTCCAACTCTAGGATTAAATCCATTGCAAGTCTCAGCAAGAACGAGTCTGGAGTGGAGGGAAGTCAGCTTCATCTCTCAGCTGGTAGAGTCCATCTGGTCTGCAGATTTTCATTCACAAAATTATGCACTTTAATTAGCAGAGAAATGCAACAGCAAGATTGTATCATGAAGAGCAAACACACAAGATTGCAATGTAATTAAGCATCACATAAAAAAAATTAGTCCATGAGATAGGATCACCTGCTTTCGGTTTCAGCAGGCCCCTTGCTAGTAGGCAGAGGGAATGCTTCTCCGAACTTTGCACAGGGGGAACTAAATGGGATAGGTCTGAAAGATTCAACCTCAAGATTTTCATCTTGTTTTGTTTTGATTGAGTGAAAAACATCTGTTGCTGGTGGGAAGGGCTGACAAGTATTGGATTCTTGGAGTAAATTTCCTTGACCATTGCCGATGCAATGAGGCAGCAATATACAAGGTGATGATGCCATTGTTTCGCTGAATTGAACTTCTGGTGGATGGTGTATCGGTAGCTCTCTTGATTCACTGTTATGTCCGACAAGGCCTTCACTAGTAGTACCAGGATTTTGGTTGTCAACCATGTTCATGTCCGAGTAAACATACCCATGTTGATTGTTATGAACATCCCATGGCAGGCTGGTCTGAATTTGTTCGCTTACATGATTTATTAATGCTCTCTTCTGAAAAACCCCTCCTTCAGCTGGAACTGAACTTCTTGAGTAATCCTGTTGTGAACTGTTTTGGTCAATCGTAATACCCCCAGTGCTTGCACCAGAACATCCCACTTCAGGAGAGGTGTGCTGGTGAAGGTAGCCAGTTGGGTTGGTTTTAATCTTCCATGGTCGATCTGGTAATCTTTCTCTTTCCCTTCTTCCTTTTTCAGATAATATGCGTTCCTTGTATGTATAATAACTCTGTAATAAACAAATGAACTGCCGAAATGAATAGCTATGTAGAATAATTATGTAATAAACTAATTTCTTACATAGATTTAGTAAGAAATGGACCAATACATGATTTCTAGTTTATACTACTATGGATGTTGAGTGTGTTGCATAAAACAGCTTGTTTCCAGCTTTTGTCATGACGAAAATGATAATGAACGAATCAGTTCCAGCCTAGGATGAACAGAGAATAAGATGAGCATAAAGTGTGCCAATAAGGTAGCAAAAGGAGCAGCAAATTAACTAGTCCAACAACCGAACACAAAATCTTTTTGAAGTTCAAAATCATGGAGCATTAACAAGAGAGATGATTTCCCAGGAGTCCTCACCATTCTGGGAAGGAATGTGCCAGTTCCACGCATCACACGTTTTTCTCTTGTGTTATGAGACCGAGAAAAGCTATAGTTCTCTGAATCAGCTGCAAGAAATGGAAGTTGTCCGACTACATTTGATAGTACATCTGTTCCAGGAAGCAATGACACATTCTGCGCATATGGGACAAACAAGAGTTGAGTCAAATTATTGACAACATAACTAATTCCAAACCATGGACGGCAAAAAGCTAATGCACAAAAGCCCCAAAGGTTCTTACTTTGAGAGTTTGCATGCCAGTTCCGTGAGCCATAATTTCCTGTGTGTTATGAAACCAAGAAACAGGATAACTCTCTAAATCAGCAGGAGGAGAAGGAGAAGATGCAAACCCGTTGGATATAATACATGTTCCCGAGGACAACACCACATTCTTCTGACAAACTGCATTGACTTGATCCTCAGTGTGTGATTTATGAGAAACATCTCCTGTGCTAGGAAAGTAGGAAACTGGACATAAGTTCCTTGTCCCGGTATCAACAGATGCAACTGGCAATAGCCCTGTAGGCCGTTCATCAGTACTATTTGAGAAGCTTCTGGTTGGAATCTTGAAGGAGTCCTCATCTAGCAGCCCAGACAAAAATGCTTCCTGAATCAGCTGCACCAACCCATCAAACATGGACTCCAGGTGGTACTGAATTTTCTGAAGGCATCTCAAGTGCAAATCCAGATCCCCTGATAGATCCAACAAATTTGATGGTGAGAAAGGAGAAAGTATTACTTTTTCTTCATGGAGGTCACTCCTATTTAACTCAGCTCTGCAAGAGTTGATAACGTCCAAAGTATTTTTATGAGTAGATGGAGTCAATATATGTGGTTGGTTGCTTGCATAAATCTGTTGCTCCATAAGTGATCTACTACAGCGCTGTTTAATGTTGTGGTTGCCATTCTCTGTGGAAGATGTTGAGTGGCTCATTAAACTAGCTCCTGAAACCATGTTGTAATACTGAATATCAAAATTTGTTAACCAGATTTTATTCCAAGGATGATCTTTAGCATCACCATGAAAATATCTATATGAAGTTGTCTGCAGATTTGGATTCCTGTTTTCATCTTGATTCCTGTCGGAATTTGTGAAGTCTGGTGCATCTTTCCCAAGTGCATATTCAGGATCAAGCAACGATTCGATTGAATCATTATTACCGACGTCTGATCTTTCTCCTCTTCCATGTCTCTTCAAGGTGTTTGCAAAAAATCCAAAGATCTCAGTAGGAATAAGGTCAGAATGTAACATGAGAATTTGACCAAGCTTTTGCGCACCAAACGATAAAGCACCTCTTATGCGATAAAAGCTTCCTGCAAAAAATCAGCATGTGTACAGAAATTATCAGAACCATCCTGCAAAGAGATCTCTATGTATGCTGTTAAGAACATATGCCTTTCTTCATATGAAGAGTACCAAGAAAAAATGCCACATGAGTAAGCACATATACAGAAATGTGCAGTACATGGTGGTGGAACATAGAAAAATAAAATGATGTAAAAAAATGACAAAATGACGCAGCCTCTAGGTTATTCTGACCTCTGCTGACGCTTCTACCAAGATTATTACTCCACTTCAATGGATCGATTATGTTTAGATGCTTCAGGCAAAAATTTATGTTTGATCCATCAGAAACTTCCGGAAGAGTCTTCTTGCCAAACAGTAGTTCATCTTGTATGCTTGAAGGTTCAACTACATGTCACAGGGATTATAATATTTAGACCAGTCAATACATGCCTGGTGATCACTTGACAAAGGAAAAGAATGCATGACTCACCAGCAGGACTGGGTAAGGATGACAAAAGAACAGGACCATTTAAACTTATGCAATACTTGTCCCAGTCAAACTTGCTAAAATATTCCAAAAACTTATACAAGGCCTGTTAAACAAAGACCACAAATAGAAAAACTTTAGTTCCCACCATGCAAATTCCCTTAACAAATTAATGAAAAGCCACTGGAAATTTCATCCAAAATCTTTTTAGTTCAACCATCTTAGAAAGCGGCTTGTAAAAACTCTAAAACATGTTTATGGTTTGCAAGAATTACCTCCAAGGGGCCATGCAGAGATTTGTGAAATATATTGAATATGTAAAGAACAAGTGTTTCCAAGGCATAAGTAGATAATAGTCCATGATGAGCTCCCAGTATGCGGCTTTCATGATAACACCAAGCCTTGATTAGCATAATGCTCCTCTTGAACAGATGATTTTTCCCAACTTTACGGTCAGCCTGAAGAAGGAAAGAAACATTCAAGTATGTGATCAACATCACACACTACATTTGTTCAAATTGCTTGGTGGGTCTATTCAAGACGAATACTTTCGAGTGGAGCAGATAATTTAGATTTGCATCTACATACCAGCTCAAGAAAACAGAGTGTGGACACCCCACCAATTTGGTTGAACGAGATGTCAACAACAATATTCTCAATAACACATTTAATTAGCTTTACCTGGATACAAAAACAATGGCAGAATTTCATGAGATTGTGCATAGCATTATGTTAGTGGCATATCTAAAAGTCAGGAGTGCATCGTTCAATCTATTTTCCAATGCATAACTTCAATTTGGAAAATGAAAAGAAAATTCTGCCTTCTTAAGAGACCATGCATGACGACTGATGTAGAAACAAGGAAAAATGTCAAAACATTGTTAGTAATCCATAACTTTTCTTTGCCTAAACTCTCTCTAAAATAAATGATTTGACATAAGTATAACATGAGAAATGTACCTCAGCATCGATGAAATGTAAACCCTTTATTTCAAGTTCTGCACCACTATCCTGCTCCTCTGACTCGAGTATACTGTGAACATCGCTAATGCAAGCGCCGTCCAGAGCGGTGTTCCCAAGTACGGTTATATCAACATCACCATCTGGGAGATAGCTCTTCAGTGGAACTGACCCAAATGCAATGACCTGAAAGTATCAAACAGAAATTGAGAGAAAAAAAAGAACACCATCTTAGAGAACTTCAAATGCACCATACTGTAAAGTGTAAGGTCACTATCACCACGCCGTGTTAAGATCTTGCTATTGCTCTAGCCATACCATATGAGGCCATTGCAGTACCTATCGCTCACCAACCCGTGCCGCAATCCAACGCATGCACGCAAATTTACGAGCATGAAAGCAACAACATTTTTACCTTAGAACTGAGGGACTAGAAAAATACAATTGTTGGTATTAGAAAAGCTAGGGGCCAAAGCATTCCTGTTTCTGAAAACAAACCTGTATTTACGCTAAGGTGAAACGTAAAAGTAATGGAAGATCTAAGCTAGTAAAAAAAAGTTACAAAATATGGTCAAAGAAGTGAAAGAACTATATTCACCCCTTATATTTTATAAAAACAAAATTCGATAGGCAGTAGGCACAAGAATTGGTTGGACCTACTCGTACAGTGAATACGACTAGTCACTAGTCAGTCAATTATCAAGCAAGTGTTGGTAAAAAAGATGATTCGCATGGGTTCGAGGATATGAACTGAGTAATTACCCGTTAGTCCTAATCCAGACGGGATGGATGGATTAGTCCTATCCTAATCACCAAAAACGGAACAAAGATGATAAATTGATAACGACATGTGCTGAGCAAGTGATTAAAGCGAAAGCTCATCATCCAAATGACAAATTCCCTTTTATGAATGGATGTGGATGCATGTAAGCTACACGAAACAAACATAATGATGTCATAATTACAAGAAGCAACGGCATTTTTGTCTGTTTGTTTTATTTTTGGGCAAAAAAAAAAGAAAAAAACGCAGAGAGAGAAACAGAGCCGCGTCATCCGCGCGGATCACGAGGCACGGTCGGTGGCCGGCCGGACTAGCGACGACGAGGAGGCGCCGCCGCCGCCGCGACGACCAAGGGCACGCACGCACGAACCTCGCAGCCGAGCGCCGTGCCGAGGAGCCGCCTGAGGTAGCCGACGACGTCCTGCCGGCGCCGCTCCGCCTCCTCCGTGGGCGCCACCCGCAGCAGCACCTCGCGCGCGGCGGCCTCGGCGGCCCGCGTCGCCTCCGGGCGGATCGACGCCGGCCGCGGCGTCCTCGTGGCCATCACCTCCGCGAGAGTCTTCCTCCTCCCGCCGCCGCCGCTCCCCGACGGCGGTGATCTCCCGACGGGGCCACCGGCTTCGCAGTACGCCATGGGGGAGGGAGCTACTCGCTTACGCTGCCATGTGGTGTGGAGGACAGGAGGAGTCGGCACGACGAGGATGGAAGAACAGAAAAGCGATGGAATTGGAAGCGATTAGTGTAGAAATCCCAGGGTTTAAGGCTTTTTGCGGGGTAAAATAACTCCATATTTATTTACTTATAATTTATTACGTTTTTCCTTTCTTTAAGAAAAAAATCATGTTTTTCAGAGCTACGGAATACTCTCTCCATAATAAAACCTTGGCACGGATTTGATATTCCCTAGTTTGATTCATCGTCTAGGAAATAATAAATCCGTGTCTAGGATTTTTTTAGGCGGACGGAGTATGACGGAGTTAGTTAAAAAATAGAACGGAAAAGATAAAGTGGGTGTTTGGAGGGTGACTATACTTTGACACAATATTAACAAAGCAACTTTAACCAACTTAACAGTGTTTGTTTGGACATCACATAATTATCATGCCACACTTTTTTTTATAATTGTATCCTTGTATATATCAATATTTCTATATCAAAACATATTTAACTCGTGGCAAACTATTTCTTAGCCGTATTTGTTAACATATTTATTTTCTTTGATTATCTGTTGAATTTATTATTCATGAACTTATCATTTATGGTAGAGGTGGCCAAATGGGCCGGGCCAAACGGGCGGCCCGGGGCACGGCCGAACCTGTAGCAGGCACGGCCCGGCACGGCCTGCTACAGTAACGGGCCGTGCCGGCACGGCACGAGTAGCCGTGCCGTGCTTGGGCCGCTGGCCGAGCCCGCGGGCCGGCACGGCACGACACGGCTACTGTAGCAGGCCGGCACGGCACGGCCCGCGGCACGGCACGGCCCGTTTCGCCGGCGGCCCGTCAGGCGCGGACAGGGCGGGCGGCGGTCGAATGGGAAGGCGCCACGTGGCACTAACGGCTATTTGACCGTTCAAATTTGAAAATAACCGTTGGGAGGCTAAAAAATTCATAAAAATTTCGAAAAAATTCCAAAAAATCTCAAATTTCGCCCTATAAATAGGGCATGAACCCCAGCCATTTCTCCTCATCCCACACTCCTCATCTTGTGCTCTCAAGTGTTTTAAGTGCTCTCTTTGTTCTCAAGTGTGCATTTTTTTTGATTTTGACAAAATTTGCTCAAATTTTGTTAAAAATCAAAATTAGTTTCGTAGTTCAACAGTTTGATCGCAGAGGTTTGAAGAGCTCGCGGTTGGAAAGATGTAAGTAATATTCAAATTTGTGTATTATTTGTATTGTGTTTGTGAATTCAATAAATATTCAAAAATTTGTTTATGTCGGTTTAAATTTTCAGAATGGATCAGAACTTTCCATACCAGTCGCCGTCGTTCACCTTGGGTGATTTCGACCCCAACTACATGTCGGGGTTTGACGGTACCTCCGGATCGGCTCCAACTCCACCATCTGTGGAGGAGGTACCGGTTCATACGGCTGTCGTTGAGGAGGTACCGGTTCAGGCGGCGACAGCTTCGGAAGGATTTTCCGGAACCGCGAGCGGAAGTGTTTCGACACACACCGGCTCGAAGAGATCGAGAACCTCCGTTGTGTGGCAAAACTTCGACGAGATAAAGGAAACATGCCCCGACGGAAGGGAGGTATCGAAAGCCCGTTGTAGAATATGTAGGCAAATTTTATCTGCTCGTTCTTCTGGTGGTACAGGTCACCTCAAGCGCCATGCGGAGTCGTGTGCCAAGAAGCAAGGAATACAACTCCGGCAGCAGCAACTTATGGTAAACCCAGACGGTACGGTACGCAGTTGGGAGTACGATCCCATGGTTTCTCGGGAATCTCTTGTCCGGTTAATCGCCAGGCAAGATTTACCCCTGAACTTTGGGGAGTCCCCTGCTTTTGAACATTACATTCAGCAATCTCATAACCCTAGGTTTAAAGCTGTGAGTAGGCAAACATCAACTAGAGATTTAGAGAATGTTTATCACAAGGAAGCAACTGCACTTAAGGAACTGTTTAGTACATGTACTTTCTCTGTTAGTGTTACTTCAGATATATGGAGTAGTGGAGCTAGAGAGGATTATCTTAGCGTAGTTGTTCATTTTGTTGATGATGATTGGCAATTACAAAAGAGAGTTTTAGGGCTTAGGTTAATAGATGTCTCACATACAGGAGAAAACATAGCTGAAAGAATTAGGGAAGTAATTAATGAATTTAATCTTGCTGATAAAATATTTGCTGTCACCCTAGATAATGCATCTGCTAATTCTAGGGCTATTGAAATATTGCAACCTTTATTTTGTGTGTATGCTCAATCTTTTCTACTCCATCAGCGTTGTGCATGTCATATAATTAATTTGATTGTTAAGACTGGCATGAAGAGGGTAGGTGACCACATCGATGCTGTTCGTCAAGCAATCGCGTGGTTAACTGCTTCTAACCCGCGGATTGCTGCATGGAAGAGGTTTTGCAATGCGGCCGGTGTGAAAGCTCGTAAGTTTGCCACCGATGCAGAGCATCGGTGGAATGCAACGTATTTAATGTTAAAAGTTGTTTTACCTTATAGTAGTTTACTTTCTGATTTTGTTCAGTCACGTGGTGGCCCAAGAAACAGTGACGGGTCTTCAGTACTGAACGAGCATGTTTGGGCAATTGTCCAAAAATTTCACCAATTTCTAGAAACTTTTTATGATTGTACTCTAACTTTGTCACAAGTTTATTATCCAACTGCTAATATAATTTTGCACAACCTTCTTGAAATTGCTACTTTATTTAAAGAATACGAAAATGATGACGTTCTAACTGAACCTGTCTTTCACATGAAACAAAAATATTTGAAATATTGGAAAAATATACCTATGTTGTATGCTTTTGCTTTTGTTTTAGATCCTAGGTGTAAATTAAGGGGATTGTCTGCTATTTTATCACTTGTTGGAGATACTATAGGTGTAGATTATAGTTCTTTTTATACTGAGGTTAGAAGTAAATTATATGAGGTTTTTGGAAGATATGAAGTAAAGTTTCAGGAAGTTCGCCAGCAGAGACCCCCTCCTATCCCCACTACAGGTAAGAAGAAGATACAGTGGGGTAGGATTTGGGGTGGATCGTCTTCAAGTTCAATCCAAGGTGGTGGCAGTTCGTCGGCTACAAGTGGAGAGGCCTCTTCGCATGTTGTGGCCGAAGAGTTGTCCGGTTATTTGGACAGCGACGCCATCCACCACGAAGCACAAGATTTCAACGTCCTCGGGTGGTGGAATGACCACAAGATAACATATCCTGTGCTTTCAAAACTAGCACGGGATGTGTTGACGGTGCCCGTGTCGACGGTGTCCTCCGAATCGGCCTTCAGTCTATGCGGCCGAATCATCGAAGACCGGAGGACGACTCTGCGCAGCGACCACGTCGAAATGCTACTAAGCGTTAAAGACTGGGAGCTTGCTCGACAACATGCCCAATACACTGCGGACAACCAAGAATTGGCCGCCCAGTTCGAGCAACTCTACCTGGATCCAGACCAACCCCAGTAGAATTTTGTTAGAAGTAGTTCTGACCTTTGAGCTGTACTCTTTTCTTTGTCATGGTTTTCTCATTTTCCCCTATGAGTTTTTACATGACAAAGTTTTTAACGAGGCAGCATGTATCATTGTATCCTGTAATGATATAAACATCAATAAAGGTCATTACTATTTTTAACAAATTCTTTTGCAATATTTTCGCAAGTGTGGATTTATCTTTAAATTATTTCAAAATAATGAATCACAATATATATTTTTAAATTTTTCAACACAACAAAAAAATACCATTTTTTCTTTTTTTTAACATTAGCAAATCATTACTTTTTTAAAAAACTTTTATTTCCATTTTTTAAATACCATTTTTTCATTTTTTAACATTAGTAAATCATTACTTTTTTTAAACATTTTATTTCCATTTTTATTTTTTTTTCCTTATACATTTCCTTTGCTTTTTTTTAAAAAAAATACTGTGCACTGCAGGCTGGCGGCCTGCCTTCACGGGCCGCCGTGCCCCGAACGGCCCGTGGGCCGCAGGCGTGCCATGCCGGCACGGGCACGGCCCGGCCATCCACGGGCCGTGCTTGGGCCGGCGGCTCGGCACGTGGGCCGGCACGGCACGGCCCGTTTCATCAGCCGTGCCTAACGGGCCGTGCCGGACCCGTGCCCGTGCCGGGCCGGGCCGTGCCGCCCGTTTGGACACCTATAATTTATGGATCTCAAACCAAGATAAACAACAGGAACTCCACCGTTTCTTTATAAAGCGTATTGGAGTTCCTATACCAAGATTGTGATGCTTAAACTAGCTAGCTGAGGCTACAACTAGGGCTGTCAAAAAAAGAGCTGCTCGAGCTCTTAACGAGCCGAACCCGAGCCTAGCTGCAAGCTCGCGAGCATTCTCTAGCCGAGCTCAAGCTTCTCATGACTCTAACTGTGTGCGTAACTTTTTTTTCTCTTATATATGATAAGTGCTAGCTCAAGGATAAATTAGTACCTACTCATGTGAAAAATTAGTGTATTTTTGGCATCATATATTCAAGCTAGTTTTGACATCATATATTAATCTTAAGTTCTCATAATATTTTTCTTTAATATTATTAATTAAAATTATTGTTTTATACAAAATTTTATCATCAAAATATATATTATTCTATACTTAGTCGAGCTCGCGAGCCTGCTTAAAAGTCGAAGGAGGACTAGGCTAGCTCGCTCGTTGACAGCCCTAGCTACAACTACCCAATGTAATCTCGTAGGCTCTCGTTTTATTGGGGCGTTATACAAACAATCCTTGAACATAATCGAAGCTGACCTCTTGGAAGTAATTCGGTTCTTTCAAGCGAACAACACACGGCATATGAGACACAAATTAATATATGGCTTCTACCGAAAAAATGTCATGTAACTAAAATAGGACTATGGTGTATGTGTACCCGATACCCACACGGCTTGCATATCCGATTAGAGATAGGAGGTAGACCAGATCCATATATTATGTAATAGAGTAGTTAGGACTCGGTCGCAATGTTGCCTTGTATTCTATAGATGGGCCTATAGCCCTTGTGTAATAGATTAGAAAACTGATATCATGTCCGGCTATGTTTTTCTCTTTGTAAACCCGCCCCTCAACCTATATAAGGTGAGCAGGAAGTCCTCCAAGGACATAGCGACATAAGCCACGATCATATCGTCAGATCAATACTACACCCAGCGGATGCTATCGATACTAGGAATCGGCAATAAGAAAAGGGGTAGCGCACAAGAGCTAAAGTAGATGGATTGTGAACATAGGTTTAGACAGGTTCAGGCCCTCTCGGTGAGAGGCAATACCCTACTCCTATTTAGGGATTGGAATCTGCCAGGTGTTATATTGATATGACAGTCTTATTATTTGTTGTGCCATTGAGGGGCCTCCCGTCCGACTTATATAGATCGGGGAGCAAGATTACAGATAAAAACCTCACCGAATAAGGTATTTACTTTACAATATTACCAAACTAAAAAACTTTAAGCCGTTTTCTTAATACACATGGTAGTGTTACACACTAGTCATAATTCATTATATATTCTAGCGGTATAATCTATCCTCGGTAGCCAGTCGTGTGTATATATGGTACGCATAAATTTAATAGTAGCCCATGAGATCTTTATAGTCGAAAAGATAATCTTCTCTCAAACTAAATAAATCCAAAGTTAAGTACTACAATCATATTCGCCATAGTTTTCTGAGTACTTTTACCTATACAGTAGGCCTGTACAGTAGGCTATGAAGAGCAAGAAAAAAATAAAAAATGAAAATACCTAATGCACCTAATTAGGTGTAGCCTTGTACCACGTGGTTATTTAAACAAACTAAGTTGTTTTTAATAATTAAGGAATAAATAATTATAGTCAACTGGATGACTTAATATATCATATGCGGTGAAAATACCCAGATAATATCCGAGCTAAAATACCGACGGCCAAATATAAATTATATTCCATAAAGCAAAAAACCGACTTCATAATAAAACGACTTAAATAACAAAGCTTTATGCAGTAAGTAAAATGTATGGTTTACGTGGCATAAAATCCGAGTAAAGTAATACTCATAAATAGATTTATCAACCGCCTGAAAAAATGATAAAAATATATAATTAGCATAAAGCCATAATATTGGCCTTATTTATAAAAAAAATGCACACATATATCTAAATATCGAATTCTATGCGGATTTGCATGCAAATAGACCCTCCATGTGGTGCTGCGCGATTCCAACTTTCGTCCCCCTCTCGTAGCTGTTAGATTGCAGATTAATGGTGAGGGATCGCTGTGGTGGACCTCGTTGTAATATATGAGGATTGAGGGGTGTTTTTGCAAAATTGGTCCAACCCAGCTCACTCGGTGTCGTCCTCTCTCGCCTCGCCGCTGCCTATTCCCTTATCCCCAGCCACATCGCCGCTGCGGACCTTCGCCGCCATGACCTCATCTCCCCACCGCACCTCTATCCCCTCTGCCCCCACTTCCCACGGTTTCGTGGGCACCTCGGCGACGGCGGCGGGAAGTTCGGATCCGCTGGGCGGGAGTCACGTCTTCCATACCCTGGGTTCACCCTCCATCCCGAATCCATTTCCTCCTCTTATTCTTTGAATCGATTTCTGAATGATGATTGTTTAATCTTGGGCAGCCTGGAGCAATGGCTGGAGTACTGCCCGGAGGGAGGAATAAGCTCACTCATCACCTGCGGACCTGCCCCATCTGCTAGTAGCCATGTGGTGTCGCACACACCCAACCCGTCTCTTATTCCAGTTCAACGGAGCGTGTCGTGCCCCACGCAGGTCGCCTCCTACCCACGCGGCAGGAGCCCGATGGTGGGGTTGACCCGGAAGAGCTCGTCGCCATGGTTGACTGGTTGGAGCAGAAGGCCCGCGCCTCCCTCGACAGGGTGCTCGACGAGCAGCGCGACGGTATCTGGAAGCTCAATGCTAAGGCGAGCGGTGCTGTTTCCATTTGGTGAATCTCGTGTTTGGTTATTCCTTTTGACTTGGGTTGATGATGGTTTCTTGGTGATTTGGTTCAGGTTGCTACGTGGAGGGAGAATGCATGGCAACCAAGGTGATGAAGGAATCGAGGGAGAAAGAATGTGTTCAACAGCTGCTCAATGCGAAAACAGAAGTAAAATCAATCGATTTAGATTCAGCACAATCAATCGACTTTTTATTCAATGGTCATGTTTGATATCCCTGGTTCTTCATCTTCTCAATTGGTCCATGGATTAGTGAAATCGCATTTGTTTTCCATGGCAAGAATTGTGGATGAAGACATCATAATGTACGCATGTGGCAGGTTGCAGTAGAAGAGCCGCGTGTTGGCGAGGGTTGAAGCTGTATACTATAGATGGCCATGTGGGCCGCCCGGCACGGCACGGCCCAGGCCCGGCCGTGCCTGGGCCGAGGCTTGTCGGGCCGGCACGGCCCGACCGACGCACCGGGCCGTGCCGTGCCAGCCCACGTGCCGCACTCACAGCCCAGGCACGGCCCAACACGCCTCGGGCCGTGCCGGGCCGGCCCGAAGGCACGATGGGCCATCGTGCTTTTCCTCAGAATAAGTCTAAATTTTCTCCCTCCTATTGGGCTGTGACATTGTATAGCTAAAAAAAGTCTATTTTACCTCCCTCTTCTTTGTGATGTGGTATATAAATAGCTAAAATAAGTCTATTTAAGGTCCCTATTATTTAAACATTGACATTTATATGTCTATTTTTAGTTCCTATACTTTGTGTACCGTGTCTGGCCTGCCAGCCCATCGTGCCGGGCCGGCCCGACCGTGCCGGGCCAGCCCAGCGTGCTGGTGGGGAGGCCCAGGCACGGCCCGACGGTCGGGCCGGGCCGGCACGGGCCCGACCCAAGTCGGGCCGTGCCGTGCTTGGGCCGGGCCAAAAAGGCGTGCCGTGGGCCGGGCCTTCGGGCCTCGGGCCTTATGGCCAACTATACTGTATACTTGTTCATTTCCACCAGTAATATGTAAATGTTCGGGGGGTTACGACGCCCGAAGGCATCATCGTTGCCGGCTCAGGAGATCCCGAGCTAGGCTTACCCTTGCCCGAAGGCGTCATCCATGGAAGAATAGAAAGGAGTACATGGAATAGACCAAAGGCCATTGGTGTCCTGTGACACCAATGCTATAACACTAGCTCCACCAATGCCAGCAGAGGTAGCTCTCCAAGGCGATAACAGCGTTGGTTGAGCTGCCAGAGATCATCATCGCCGCCGCCATGGCAGATCGGTAGCCGGATGCATGTTCTTCGCTCCCTCATTTTAATTTTCATTTTTTGTCAAACACATACATCCTTTCTTTTATTTTTGTTGCACATAAACACACACATCCTTTCTTTTATTTTTGTTACACACGGTTTTTCGAGGGAAAATATAAAAATTTAGAGAACCACTAAAATATTTTACTTTTTCTGTTAAACAACCAATTTTAAAGCCCTCAAAAGATAAAATGAGACCGCTATCGTCATCATCACCATGTCTGGCCGATATGGTTGAGCGGAGCACGCACTATCGAGAAGCGATCTTATGGTGGCCGCGCCGGATGAGCTGGAGCTAGTGATTGCAATTTCGTTTCGAAATTTCAGCTCCGTGGCAAGTGATTATCTTGGCCGAAATTTTCGGTTATTCTCGAATTTTTGCGAATTTGATCAAAATTTAGACAAATTCAGTTAAATTATGTTAAAATTTCAAACAATTTTGGTCAAAAAGTACCGAAAATCTTGATTTTTTTTTGGGATTTCTGTTCTACCGAAATGATCGAAATTCCTGAAATTTCGGACGGAATCAAAATTGAAAACCCTGGCTGGAGCTCAGTGACGGCGTACTCTTCGCCTCTGCACAACACAAGATGCCGACGGACTGGAGTCTGGAGATGCGTCGGGCGACGCAACGAGAGGTCGGCCACGCAACGTGCCGCTGCCGCCGCCGATGTCCTCCTCTTTGGCACAAGGTGGGAGCACTTTGAACAGCAGCGCGCAAAGCAAGGGGGAAGCAGCTGGGCCTCCGCCGCGACCATCGCCGGAGGCCGCCGCCGCAAAGACGAAGTAGTCTCGCTTGAAGGCAAGCCACGGGCACACGTGAGACGACGTCTCGACGAGGCAGCAGATCGGAGCAGAGCAGGGCGAGGCCGCGCGCTGCACCGCCACGTGGTGGCACGCAGCTTCCACATGGATGATCATTGATAAAAGCTAGGCAGGATCGATGCATGGATGGAGCTAATCCACCGTGAGTTTTATTGCTCCGCCATGATCAAACCATCCGCTAGCTGCAAAACCGTTCTTCTTTGCATTTTGTTTTGTTTCTTCCTTTCATTAATTTTTGCTTTCGTGTGAATGGAGATGGATAAAAGGATAAACAACCTATCATTATCTTTTAATTGCTTCGATTTTAGGCCGGGTGGCTACTGTGATTTGGCCCAGGAAGAAGAAAAGAGGGGAAACTGGAAGAAGAGAGATGGGCTAAGCAAGCAGGAAGCCAAACGTTCTCTTGTTCTTCGTTGTATTCATCCTTATGTCACAGCAATGACCACGAGAATGCGTATTCTTGTTCTTCGTTGTATTCACCCTCATGTCACAGCAATGACCACGAGAATATCATCCACTTTTGATCATATATGTCAATATGTGCATGCACAATTAATTGTTTGGTTAAAACAGTATCAGTATGCACAATAGCCAATCTATTATACTAATTGGCTTTAACACTAACTACAAAACAATATGAGAATAGCCTTGCTATTGACCTTGCTCTAACATGCGACTACACTATTGACCTTCCTCTAAGGAAATTAGAGGGGATTAAGATGTAGAATTAATTAATTATTTCCCCCAGCTCTCTCCATTCTCTTCTCCGTAGGATCAACACTAAAGATATAAAGTTAATCCTGACTCCACGGAATCAACACTAGCCCCTATATAGATTAAAGGCTCGAGGTGATTCAAACTCTGAAGATGATTTAGATTGGAAATATGAGGATTTTGATTTACCGCGAACCTACATAGTAGCTTCTCCATTTCATAATACAAAGATTTCTACATTGTTTAGTAGGGATTATATATAATTGAGAAGAAAATACTTTACTGCCCTTATAAAAAGGATGGAAGGGGTGAGACTTTACTGCCCTTATAACATAAGAAGAATTTTTAATGATGTGATTCATGGAATGACGGAACAAGAAGTAGGGCTAAAAATCGCTATGTTTTAGGACAACATTCGAATTCTAACCATTCTTATATTTTGAAATGGACGGAGTATGTATACCATATTATACTAGTGAAGGCAAATTTATTACTCCCTCCGTCCCAGAATATAAGAATTTTTAGAGTTGGACATAGCTATTAAGAAATTAGGTAGAATTAAATAGGGATGATTGTGATTGGATGAGAAGTGTAGGTAGGTAGAAATTTTGAATGGTGGAGGGTTATATATGATTGGTTAAGAAGAGAATATTTGTGTATAAGTTGTTATATTTAGGGACAAATTCTATAGGCTGAAAGTTGTTATATTTTGGGACGGAGGAAGTAGGACCTTTTCTTTCACTTATCAAAAAGACCTCCTCCCTTTCTATGACATATGGTGTTTCACAATCTCAAAGCATAGGCTTCAATTCAATTCTTCCGGCCGTCTGCCCTGGTTTGAACGAGGAATTACACCAACCAATTGAATCGATCGAATCGGTTCATTCCTACCGGAAACTTTAAATTTCATGATGCGAGGATCATGGTCTTGGTCATATAGTAGTATGTGTGCTAGCTTTTAGACTTCTTTTCTTTTCTTTCTGCAAGTCAGATAGAGTTCTACGAGACAGCAATGGACTGATCAAGCAGTAGCCACACAACGCGTTGATTTTGGCGGTGGTTGTTCACTTGTTCTAGCTGTTTGAGGAGAGCTACCGGAATCTGCCAGACACATGGACTTATTTAGCAACCAAAATTTAGTCAGAATTAGCAGCGTGGCAACCAGGTCCGATCCCACACGTTTTGTCCCTGCCCATGTAATGAGAGAGAAGCAATAGAATCAACAATCAATAGTCAAACGCTTGTTTAATCGGAAAGACTCTAGGATATGGTATTACCTTGTTTAATTTAAGCTAGTTTTCAGTTTATTCACTTTGTTGAACGCTTCCTACAAATATTCACAAAGCCCTTCTAATGGGCGATCGCCCAACGATCAGTTTGCCCCCCCCCCTCTCCCCCTATACTCCTCCCTTCTCCCCCTTCCTCCTCCCCTTCTTCTCTTTCTACTACAGTACACCACACAATTTTTTTAAAAAAAACAAAAGTTAGAAAAATTTATGTATAGAAATACTGTATATAAAAAATTTGAATTCAAATTTAAATTTGAATCGGTATGTAAACTTCTGACTTATAAACTTTGGGTCTATAAACTTTAGGTGTATAAACTTTAGATGTATAGAAATACTATATATAGAAAATATTTGAATTCAAATTCAAATTTGAATCAGATATAATTCAAATTCAAATTTGAATCGGGTGTCTAAACTTTTGACTTATAAACTTTAGGTCTATAAACTTTAGGTGTATAAACTTTAGATGTATAGAAATACTATATATAGAAAATATTTGAATTCAAATTCAAATTTGAAACAGGTATATAAACTTTAGGTCTATAAACTTTAGGTGTATAAATTTTAGATGTATAGAAATACTATATATAAAAAATATTTGAATTCAAATTCAAATTTGAATCGTATATATAAACTTTTGACTTATAAAGTTTTGGTCTCTAAACTTTAGATGTGTAAACTTGAGGTGTATAAACTTTAGATGCATAAATTTACTAAAATAGGAAAGTAATATGGTGCCAAAAAAGGAAACAGGTGGAGGGAGGGAGGGGGGAGGTGGGGAGCGAATCTGATCGCTACCTCATCCCTAGGGCGATCGATCGCCAAATAGCATTTCCGCTGAAATGCTACTGCCCAGGGCGATCAGATTCCCCCCCTTCCCTCCACCTGGTTTCCTTTTTTGACACCGTATTACTTTCCTATTTTAGTAAATTTATGCACATAAAGTTTATACACCTCAAGTTTACACATCTAAAGTTTAGAGACCAAAACTTTATAAGTCAAAAGTTTATATATCCGATTCAAATTTGAATTTGAATTCAAATATCCGATTCAAATTTGAATTTGAATTCAAATATTTTTCATATATAGTATTTCTATACATCTAAAGTTTATACACCTAAAGTTTATAGACCTAAAGTTTATATACCCGATTAAAATTTGAATTTGAATTATATCCAATTCAAATTTGAATTTGAATTCAAATATTTTCTATATATAGTATTTCTATACATCTAAAGTTTATACACCTAAAGTTTATAGATCCAAAGTTTATAAGTCATAAGTTTATATACCCGATTCAAATTTAAATTTGAATTCAATTTTTTTATACATAATGTTTTCTAACTTTTTGTTTTTTTAAAAAATTTTTTGTGGTGTACTGTAGTAGGAAGAGAAGAAGGGGAGGAGGAAGGGAAGAAGTGGGAGGAGTGCCTATAGGGGGAGGGGGTGGGGGCTGGATCCGATCGCTGATCGATCGCCCTGGCGATCGATCGCCCATTAGGTCCCCCCACTTTTTCAGCCTATTCACTTTGTTTAACGCTTCCTAAAAATAACCATAAAACTTTTTTCTACAATATTGATTAATTAGACTATTGTTTTAGCGCTATGAATTTGTCCGTAAAAGATTGTTGTTTTAAATTGAGGTCCACTAGATCTTTTTTTGATGGGAATATAGGTAGTACTTTAAAAACATACTCAGCAGGAAGCTAAAAGATTACTTTACATTTCATTAATATAGATAGTGAACGAGTGGGGAGAAAACAAGAAGACAATATATTGGTTTGATGACTAAAACAAGAAGAAATTGATGAATTAATATTAAAGATGCCTATTTTTAAGTCTCGATCTGTGCAAGAAGTTCTTAGGGCAGTCTCAACCCATAGTGTCCATAAACAGTGTCTATGGTGATATGTCAATAAGACATCACAATAGAAACTACACTCTACAACCCATGGTTTCTTAAAGTAGGCCATTAATAAATACATCATCTCTCTTCTCTACCAATCATATTTACTCTTCATCTGTTATGAAGACATTATTCTCTCCCAATGCAAAACTTGATAGTGTCTAGTACATAGGTTCTCGTGTTGAAGCTGTGTCTTGCATGAGCTACTCTTCACTCTCTCTCTTAATTAATATAGTGCCATATAAGTTAAAAGTCATACATGACAATGTAGTTAATGCCATAGACACCATCTTAGATAAAGGGTTGAGACTGCCCTTATGCTAAAACAAGTCTCTTTTTTTTTCGGGAGTGCCAAAACAAGTCTTTTATGAAGGGAGGTAGGACAAGTGTACAACCATATATATGCGGTCCTCATCTTCGCTAGCTAGCTTAGCTGACGCTAAATTCAGTCCACACGGTTCCTAGATATATACGCAGTCCCATGCATGCATGGAGGCGTCAACACGTCGGTCAAAAGGCGAAGAAACAGATTAAAATAAGCAGATCAAGCTACTGCGGATTAGCTGTATAATTAATTTTTATTATATTTTTTTTTCAGCTGTAAAGCTAGTGTTTCTTGTCAAATCGTGCACAATTATATACTCCCATATTTTAAAATATATGGCGTATAATATTTAATTATTCTTCTTATTAAAAATGTATTTAAATATTATTTATTATTTTAAGATGTTTTATCATTAAACAAAATATATTTTTAACTTATATATTTACAATGCTTATACTAAATTTTTAAATAAAACGAATGATTAAACAAAGTTAACGGTGTTATATATTTTAAAAATGACTTAGTATATTGCTTAGCTTGATCATCGTTGCAACTTGCAAGCACGGACGACTAAAAGTTCGTGAATGTATACCTCTGTCTAACACGTACTTATAGAAAACTGACTAGCCAAAATTAGCTGCCTGCTTCTTTTGCATCAGTTTAGCATATTATATTTTCTGCTGCTCTGCTCCTGGATGTCAAACGCAATAATTTATTCGTTATTTAAAAATGTTAATATCACAAATAGTATATGTAGTAATATGTACACTCCCCTGCTAATTAACTTGCTGGAGTATATATATATATATATATATATATATACACACACACACACACATATACATACCTATATCAACCTAATTAAACCGAGAAGAAAAAGAAAAATGCAATATTGTTGGAGTATCCAAGTCAGTTGATCTTACCTAATCAAACTACAAAAAGCTATATATACAGTTCTTACAAGTATCTGCTAACAACGCACTAACTAGTGGACTAGCTAATCGTTCGTATCGTAGCTACACATCTCCACCACTCGTTGACCAGCTATCTTCCTCTTGCCTTCCTTGCTGAGACTTGGAGTTCAACTTCACAGTCAAATTTGCCAGCCAGTACACACCCCACAATGCCCATCTCCTATATATACAAGCTTAATTAAGCTCATCGTCGCTCAGCATCAAGAAGCTAATTAACCCAAGCAACTAGCTATCTAGCTTAGCCTCGCTAAACCAACACCATCGTAAAAATCTCTTTGATAGTTGACATCGAGGCAGTGATTAATTAAGTAGCTAGCTAGTTACAGGCACAAGGAGAGAAACACCAATGGCATCAATGGCGCCATCGGCAATGGTGCTCATCGTCCTCCTCGTCCTGGTGGTTCTCCCGTCGAGCACTCTGTGCTCACGGGCGGGGCCTTCTTCCAAGCACGGCCATGGCGGTGGCCACGCCAAGCGCGTGCCGCCACCGGCGTCGGTACCGCCGCCGCCGCCGCCGCCACCAGCGCCGGCGGCGCTGGTGCGTGCCACCTGCAACTCCACCTCCTACTACGACCTCTGCGTCGCCGAGCTGTCCGCCGACCCGTCGAGCGCCACGGCCGACGTGCGCGGACTGTCGTCCATCGCCGTCTCCGCCGCCGCCGCCAACGCATCCGGGGCGGCGCAGGCGGCCTCGGCGCTGGCGAACGCGACCGACGCGGGGACGACGGCGGGCGTCGCCGGCGACGGCGGCGGCGCAGTCGTACAGAGGCTGCTCGCCACCTGCGCGGCCAAGTACGGCGACGCCCGCGACGCGCTCGCCGCGGCCAAGGGCTCGATCGCGCAGCAGGACTACGACATGGCGTCCGTGCACGTCAGCGCCGCCGCGGAGTACCCGCAGGTGTGCAGGACGCTGTTCGGGCGGCAGAGCCCCGGAGACTACCCGCCGGAGCTCGCCGCGACAGAGGTGGCGCTCAGGCAGCTCTGCTCCGTCGCGCTCGACATCATCGCGCTCCTCAGCTCATCCAGCAACTAGCAGCTCTGCTTGTTACCGAGCTCAAGTTCACCCAACCAGCTAACTACTCGCAATTCGTATAGGTACAAATGGTGCAAATATAGTACTGTATAATACTACTGCATAGAATACATATACGTGTAATGACACGTATTTATCTTTTTTTTTTGCAAGGGGCACGTATATCAATTAATTGTGTGTCCCAATTAATTAGAGTCGAATCCACTTGATATGTTCTTTTGTTAATTTGTATTATCACTCCATAGAGGAGTTGCTGTAGTAGTGCAAAAGGTACATGCGGCCGCCGGCAGTATGCATGTATTTCACTTCTGTTTCAGTATAATAATGGCTATTCATATTTGTTGAATTAAAATTATGTGACTGCACACCCTTTTGTGTTTGATGATCATATAGTTTATATTGGAATTCAAACGGGTTAAACCTCCATAATAACACTATGGTGGTGTTTGAATATCCTAAAGATGAAGATTAAGTGTTTCAAGCAAAACGAGGTGTTAATAGCGTGTGATTAATTAAGTTTTAATTATTATAAACTTGAAATATGGATTAATCTGATATTTTAGAACAACTTTCATATAAAAAGTTTTCGCACGAAACGCACCGTTTAGCAGTTTGAAAAGCGTGCCACGAATATCTAAAACTTTTATATAGAAATGTTTCACAATCCCAGTTCAAAGTTTCAAGTTGCTATAACCAACTTTGATTTATATATAGGCTAGTTCATTCATTGCTTGGTCCGCTATATTTGTTTTGTCTTCTAGTTCTCCACATGGACTTCCTACTACTCCGACGAATCTTTAAATAACTAGCAAAATCCCTATGCATTACAACAGCGAAGGCTATATTTATGCGAAATTTCAAAGATAAATTATGATTTTTATATTTGATAATATGATTTCAAAATATACTAGAACTTATGAATAAATGTTCTCATGGATAAAGAAAGTGAGATTGAGAGTAGGGTGTCAGCTATCTAAGTCAGAATTGTGACTGATATGTATATTTCATTGAAATAAACACGTCTTTGTACCTATACACAAAGGAAGTTGTAAAAAAGAGAATAGAAAATTTTATTTTGATGGCAAAAGAGAGAATACAGTTGCAACAAATGATAAAAGAAAATTTTCCCCATAAAAAACTGTAGTACTTCTAGTTATCTAAGTTATCTATTCTAATTCTAATATGATGTGTTGATTTCACTGACATCATTTTTTTCCATTTCATTAAATCTGCGGCTCCATGGCTACAGATGCTGAGAGAAAGTCTCTTTACTCATTTTATACCAATTGAGGACAATGCTGAGGAATAGTTCAATGGTAGAATAGAGGAAGAGATCATTGGTTTCATTATTATGTTATTTATACCTTTGTTTTTTCTTGCAAACACAAAGAAACAATCAAAATTCCTTGTGTACCAATTGATTGAACCCTAACGGTATATAGGGGCATGGAAGAGATCCAAGCAAACACTTAGGGATACAGGAGACATCGAGTAACTTGGGGGTATGAAAGATATCAAGTAAGCTTTTGAGGAGTACACAAGGAAATCTCTCTTTTGTTCTCCAAGTAAAATAGCAGCGAGTAGCAATGATAACACACCATCATAGCTAACAAATAAAATAACTAGCACTATTCCTCAACTCAAATTAACTAAAATAGCATAGCACATAGACGAGACATAGAGAAGTCAGGAACATTAGGTAGTTGTTCCTTGGGGTTGAGGTTAGTATCAACAGAGAAGTGCACCTTTTGCACGAGATGCTCAATTTGTAGTTGCACTAAATAGGACCTAACCTAGTGCTTCACATATTGGCTAGCGTGAGTGGGTGTCTTCTAGCTAAATTTCAGCTTACTCTTGGGACTAACCCAACCATTCATATATATGCAGTATCTGATTTTGTTGTAGATTTGCTAATACACCATAGGTAGACAACAGCAGAGACCATAAAGATTTCTGGTCTCTGGTAATTAGAGGGGCGTCTAACGCAAGGCTAATCGCACTTCACCAGTGCATGCGAATTGAATGTGTTCCAACCCAGCCCACCTGTTTATAGTGCGTGTTCAATCGGCTTCCTACTTGGCTAACTTGACTAATTTATAGAGTTGTAGATACCCCCGATGCTAAATCTATAAGGAGGCCTTATATTTAGAAAATGTTATGAAATAAAAGAGTAGTTTATAGACTAAATTGCCTAATATACCAAGATCATAGCCACTTCTTACTTAATGCCATGTGTTCTACAATTCACTGTAAATATAATCTAGTGTCATTATGCTTTGCTCATTCACGTTATGGCTGGGGATCTTCTATTCATATCAGAAGAACTATCTACCAATCTAACGTTCCAACGTTCTCCCTCTCTAGCTATATCCTACAAAAGCAAAAAAAAAAAAGGACTGAAATTAATGACAACTTGAATTATATGGGGAAAACAATATGGTCACCTGAAAGTAGGTGAACACAATATGGGGAACACAAAAGCTGGAAGGAGCTTATACTGGGTGATGGAGGTGGGTAGAACCATTGGATCAGAATATAATGCTCAAAACATCGTATGTGTCACGCCTAGAAAATATCTTTCCCGAACGCTAGTGTATTAATCCCGTCCCAGGAAAAGCCAGGGTACACTACAATAAACTTGATACAAAGACACATCTTTATTAATTAACACGATAGTATTTACATTATTACAAAGACACATTAGACCTGACAACAAAAGAAAAACAGCAGCGGACTAGCGGGCCTACGGCTCCATCTTCACAGGCGCTCAACTGGGGATAAGCCAAGACTCCACCTAAGACTTCTTCTTCGAAAAGCTTCTCTGACTAGAGGGGGAAAGATTGAGCGAGAATGAGTACAACCACCGTACTCAGCAAGCCATGCCGAGAAATGAATTATAGTGCAAAGGGGAAAAGAGTTTGCATAATAGGGTTTATTTTTGCATAAAGCCAAAGTTGCAATATTTTCATGTTTTTAAAACATAGTTTAAACTCGGTCCTATTTCTAAGTAATATTACATGGTTGCGGACCCACGCATACCGGCCTTAAACCCAGGTTAACCACCTGTCCAAAGTTCCATGAATTCCATCATCACTTAGAAGAAATAACTTGGGTATATTGTTAGGCTTGCCCATAACCAAGGGCGCGGCTAATCGAATAGTTTTACTCTAACCAAAGGTGTACATCTTTACCCACAAGACACAATACTTGACTTCATGTCAGCCATGCATCGTGATACCTCAAAGGTACCCAAAAAGTAAAGATCGTGTCAAGACTATCTATGTAGCTCAACCCAAAATAGAAGGACCTGCTAAGGTTTTCGCCGCTCGCTGGACCCCGACAAGGTAAAGTTTGCCGAATCCCTCGGGACAAGACATGCCCCCTCGTGCTCCAGGTCAAAGTGGACCTCCCTGGCCCCAGACTTTTCTAAACTTCTAGTCAGGCCTTACCCATTAGACTTGTGGTTGCACTGTTATGCTTCGCAACAGAGGTCCGAAGACCGGTCCTTATAGTGGACGAGGTGCTTCTAACAAAAACCATACACCTCGCGCCCCACCAAAACAGATTTAGGGAGTTCTGATCATCATTCTTACACATTTTAGTTGTTGCCCACAGTCTAATTTATAAAAAGTGGTTCTATGTTGGATCTAAGCATAGATAAGCCTAACCTAGAGCAACTATTAAGTCCATCATATAGGGAGCCATACTAGTCATTTTATCATTTTCTTAAGGTTATCAAGAGCATATGTGTAGCAATTCAACAACATGGC